GCGATCTCGGCTCACTGCAAGCTCCGCCTCCCGGGTTCACGCCATTCTCCCGCCTCAGCCTCCGAGTAGCTGGGACTACAGGCGCCCGCCACCACGACCGGTTAATTTTTTCTTTTTCTTTTTTTTTTTTTTGTATTTTTAGTAGAGATGGGGTTTCACCATGTTATAGCCAGGATGGTCTTGATCTCCTGACCTCGTGATCCGCCCACCTCGGCCTCCCAAAGTGCTGGGATTATAGGCATGAGCCACCGCGCCTAGTGCATTTAGCAAGTTTACTCAGTCAGTATTCCCCTCCAAATGTGATCACTGTTCTGAGCTCTATCACCATTATCACCATAGATCAGTTTTGCCTGTTTTTGTAGTATTTCCATTGTATAAATATACCACAATTTATCCATTCTACATTTATTTATTTATTTTAAAGATGAAGTCTTGCTATGTTGTCCTGACTGGTCTTGAACTCTTGAACTCCTGGTTTTTGTTTTTGTTTTTTTTTTGAGACAAAGTTTTGCTCTTGTTGTCCAGGCTAGAGTGCAATGGCATGATCTTGGCTCACTGCAACCTCTGCCTCCCGGGTTCAAGCGATTCTCCTGCCTCAGCCTCCCAAGTACCTGGGATTACAGGCATGAGCTACCACACTTGGCTAAGTTTTGTATTTTTAGTAGAGACGGGGGTTACCATGTTGGCCAGGCTGGTCTCGAACTCCTGACCTCAGGAGATCCACCTGCCTCGGTCTCCCAAAGTGCTGGGATTATAGGCGTGAGCCACTGTGCCCGGACTTGTTTTTTTCTTGAGACAGAGTCTTGCTCTGTCACCCAGGCTGTAGTACAGTGGTGTGATCTCGGCTCACTGTAACCTCCACCTCCCAGGCTCAAGCCATTCTCATGCCTCAGCCTCCCAAGTAGCTGGGACTACAGACCTGCACCACCATGCCTGGCCAATGTTTTGTATTTTTAGTAGAGACTGGATTTCATCATGTTACCCAGGCTGGTCTTGAACTCCTGAGCTCAGGCAATCCGCCTGCCTCCACCTCCCAAACTGCTAGGATTACAGGCGTGAGCCACCGCACCCGACCATAAGTTCAAATTAATTAAAATTAAATAAAATGGAAAATTCAGTTCCTCAGTCACATTTGCCATATATCAAGTGCTCCATGGCTGTATGTGTCTAGTGGCTACCTTACTGGATAGTAGAGATATAGAACATTTTCTAGGCCGGGTGCAGTGGTTCACGCCTGTAATCCCAGCACTTTGAGAGACTGAGGCGGGTGGATCACCAGAGGTCAGGAGTTCGAGATCAGCCTGGCCAACAGGGTGAAACCCTATCTGTATTAAAAATACAAAAATTAGCCTGGCGTGGTGGCAAGCACCTGTAATCCCAGCTACTCGGCAGGCTGAGGCAAGAGAATCACTTGAACCCGGGAGGCGGAGGTTGCAGTGAGTTGAGATCCCACCACTGCACTCTAGCCTGGGCGACACAGCAAGACTCTGTCTCAAAAAAAAAAAAAAAAAGAAAGAATAGAGTGTGGTGATTTGGGGTACATGGTGTGAGAGGATGGCAGGATATGAAGGAAAGGGTAACTGAGTAGAGCTCTTGGAGGTAAAACTCACAAAAATGTAGGGCCGCCTCTGACCTACTCCACCTGCAATTTTTATTTTAATTTTTTAATTTTTAATTTTTAGAAGAAATATGGACTTTAATGAAGAGTTTTCCCTTTGGTACAAGTGAGACCCATGGAAACATCCCAACAACAATAAAAGGAGGCCTTTATCCACAAGGGCTAAAGAGAAAGCCCGGCTTGCTGTTGTGTGGCCATTCCAGGCCTAGGCAGGGCTGGACCTGTAGAAGGTACTCAGGAACTGCAGGTTTTGCATTTCCCCTTTGTGAAACGAACATGCATTCCCGCAAACTTCTGCCTCCTAGCCTCGTTGTAAGAGGCCCAAGTTTTTCTAGTCCTAGCTGGAAATCAATTTCATCTGCCTCAGGTCTCTGATATAAATAATAATGCTGCTGATCCCTGTTACCTCACAGGCCTGGGCAACGAAAATGCTGAGAGCTGTAAAAGGTCTTGGAAAATTCAAAAAGGTGATGTATAAATGTAATAATTGATTATCATTTTGTGCTCAAGAATAAGCCATGGAAAACAAAATTAGGAAAGTAAGTCCATATCCCTAAAATGTATGCATATAGAATTTTAAAAGAATGCAGTTCTTGCAGATGGTATTCAGGCATGGTCTACTGCTTTAGAGTCTCAATGCCCTTTTTCCCGCCTCCACAAAACCCACCTGGGAGAGTTTACTGCACAGGAAGCCCAAATTCAGTCACCCCACCCCTCCTTTCTCGGAAAGGGAGGCAGGGCAGAGGCTCCAGGAGGAAGGGCTACATTTTGGCTATAGAGTACAATAGGCATGCATCATGGGAGGGTGGGGTTTATGAAATGTGTATACAGACTCCTTGGATTGAGGGGCCCCGGCCAGGAGGCACTGAGCAAGGGAGGGATCCATCTTCCCCCTGGCTGGGAGCGGGGCTCTGGGGCAATCTCTAAGGGTTGCATATCCCCAGGGAGAGGGGATAGCTGCCACTCCTGCCTCTGTTCTCCCAACCCAAACCAGAGAGGGTGCTGAGCAAGGAGAAAACAGGGTCCCAGAAGCCAAGAAAGTGTCAGCATCCCTGTCATTGAACTCAGGGACCCATGAACTCTTTTTTTTTGAGATGGAATCTTGCTCTGTCGCCCAGGCGGGAGTGCAATGGTACAATATTGGCTCACTGCACCCTCCACCTCTCGGGTTCAAGGGATTCTCCTGCCTCAGCCTCCTTAGTAACTAGGATTATAGGTG